CGCTCGTTCTGGAGACTTCCGCGGCTCACTTTTTAAGGAAGTCTCGTACAAAGCGCTCGTTCTGGAGACTTCCGCGGCTCACTTTTGGAGGAAGTCTCGTACGAAACACTCATTTTCACTAGCAAATACTACCTTCGAAGCACTACCGAATGATGCAGGTTCCAAAATGAGCCGCGAAATTGGTCTCACGCTGCAGTCCCGGTGAGTTTTCTTTTCGTCTGGGTTCCAAAATGAGCCAGGTTCCAAAATGAGCCGTTTCTAGGTTCCAAAATGAGCCGTGTACCCTCTGCCACGTGTGCCTGCGTGTCTCAGCTTGCCAGTCATTTGGTCAAGCGGATGATGATGAAGCTGATGATGATGAAGCCGCCGCTCTAGAGAATTTGCATGCCACCGGTTCAATCCAAAGCCCCGGCTAAGCCAAACAATGACCAAATACTGCCATTACAGGAAAAAACAACACAAGGCTTTGATGGTCTTCCTGCCGTTCTGATTGATTTGCAACTTGTTACTGCCCAGCTCCCCATAGTTGGCGTTCATGCGAGGTTTCACTCAGAAGACCACCCGTGCGCCGGACAAGCTTCGCGGCTGGCGCACGAAGCCAGGAGATCAAGTCAGTGTACCGAATGGGCAACACCTACTCGCCACATGGTGAGGACGACTTGTGAACGTCAACCCACGGCCCACGGCGCTTGGTAAACTAAGACCGAGGGCCAGGGCTGGATGCACATCAGCGGTGTGGCGGTTGCTGATGGCTTAAAGCCCTTATCCTCCCGCAAACTAACATGGAACCTGAGAATTGACCGGTGGTTTCGACCATTTTCCTCAGTGGTTTTGGTGTTCCATGTGGTCCTCTGCAAGGAAGTCGTTTTTTATCAACAGTGCCGGTCATAGGTAGACTGAGACGGTCCCGCAAGCGGGCCCTAGGTTTGATTCTGAACGGGCCGCTGCCCCTTGCGGTGAGAAAGCTTTGTAGTGATGTTCGTGGCTTAAGTCTAGGCCTTTGCAATAGACCGTAGGAGACCACGCCTGGAAGCATAGCTACCTCGAAAGCCGGGAAAAAAGGGGATGCGGTCTGCCTGACCTGAGTGACTTGAAGGGAAGCCTTTCAATTCACTGCCTTTGGATGCTGCAGCATGTTCCGTTGCATGTACAGTGTACAGGCCTTCATCCAGACCAGGAAAATCGGAGGCCTGTGCGACTTCAGTCGGAGGGTGATCAGTTCTGATAAGACCTCTTCATGTCGGTGGCTTGGCATATGTATTTATTGGTTCAACACTCTGAGGTGAGTTTGGCGCCTTCTTAAGCCATGGGATCACCGAAGAGCTCCCGAGACTACAACGCCCAGACCCGCCGCGCTCGACCGTCCGGCCAGCCCTGAGGCGTGGCTTGATGATCTTCAAGAAGAAGTTCCGAGACTTTGCCCGCAGTGGGTGTTCCAGCCAGCAGTGATCTGAAAAGAACAACACCAGATACATCCAGATACCCAAGAGGATCCCCAAGAGGCTGTTCCATGTCAGGGGTGTTGGGGCCCATGGTTAGACCCTGGAAGCCGGAGAGCCCAAACCCGTATGGTCAATGCCCACGCCATGAATAGGATGTGTCCTTTCGGTTCTGCAGGGAAGAAAGGCGCTGACAATAAGAGAGTCCCTTCGTACCCAGTCCTAAGGGATCTTAAGGGATTAAGGGTCATACAAGCAAAGTAAGGCAAATATATGCAAATGAATGCAAATGATATAATATAGCTCAAAATATCATGACATATCGACAGAGCTTCGCTGGAGTGAATCTTCGAAGGCTCTCTCACCTGCCACATTCCTACGCACGTGTCTATATCACTCTATAAACGAGGTTCGCAAAAACAGGCGACGAATCGCTCACAGAGACGCACACCTTCCCCATTACGGACGGAGATGCCCGTTGGACGGACGTCCGTCCGACGGACAGTCCGCGGCGCGACCAGGACGGGTCTTCTACGTGCCTGGCAACCATGACCGCCGGCAGCGGGTTGGATCCGTAGACCCGACCGTTCCACGGGTTGGATCAGACCCGAGTCTGATGATATGACCCTTCACTCATATGCCTAACTAATATACAGTGCATCATGGTTTGGGCGCTGGATGTGTTTCATGCCCTACTTTCGGATGAAGACCTGCAGATCAGAAGGGATGGAAAAGCTATGATCACCTATAGAGGATTTCAGGTGACTTCAGCAGAAGACTGCATAAATAGAGCTCCACACACTCCCAGAGTCCCCTCACGATCTGATGCGGCTCCACGACCCGATCCAGTCTGATCCTCGCTACCATGTCGACCAAGAACCAGGCAGCGTCAGTCATGAGATGCCTTCCTTTTGGGGGAGCAATCGTACGAATCAGTTTTAGTCGATTGAGAAGTTGTTGGGTGTGGTTTGATGTGGTTTGTGATGTCCAATGCACCTTGCCCATACGTGGGAAGGCATGGTGGACATGTTGTTGGAACAACTCCTATAACGCAGTAGAGCCCAGCATAGGCTGAAGTTGCATTGTTTTGAATTCCCGAGGTGCAAGTTCGAACTCCCAAAGCAGGTGTCGAAGGGGTTCCGGCTTCCAAGCATCCTCCGGCCCTTTGCCAACATAGCAACAACGGGGATGAGAACATGATTTCATCCAGATTGTTGCTATGTTTGCTTCGTCACCACAGGAGAAAAAAGAAGAACCAACTCTTTTTGCTGGCGTTTTCCCCCAAGATCGGTGTCATTTGGGTCGAAGAAAGACATGTTGGCAGATGTCCCCAAACAATGCTTGCAGTTGCAGGGCAGAGTCTATTGAGGGGAAGCAGATGCAGACGGCCCATGTTTGCGCTTCCGGTGAGGACATGTGGATCCGGCCCAACACAGATGATTCCACCAAGCGGAAGTTCAAGGAGTGGACTCATGATGACGGCGGCATTGTTTGATTTGATATACAGAAGGACCTAGGTGTTGGAAGGTAGTGGAATTGGTTGAGTACTTTGAACTTTTAATTGCGTATATGTATGGTAACCTTTGCGGACTGACTGTTTAGAGATGAGCAAGCAATATCAAACGATCAAGCACAATTGGCAATTGGTATACTAGCCTGTGTTTGTTCTTTTTCGAGCAGATAAAGCTGATAGGCTTGGAAGAACAACACGAGAGACAGAGAGTTGTAAAGGGGGCACACTAGGATTCACATGGTTTTCCCACTTCGATGGCCTGAACCAAGTGGTGGACATGGTCGGCGTTCCACCTGGCTCGGGAGTCCGAAATCCTTAAGCAGCCGAAGCAGTCCTGGGGGCCTGAAGCAATTGGTTGGATGAATGGAAGGAGGGGGTTGGCCCTGAGGATCAAGGGTCCCTCATTGACTCAAAGGGATGCGAGGGTTTGGGACCGTACTACGTACTTATCAGGGTCCAGGAGCGTTGGGGTCGCGTGGTTCTTCACTCCTTTTCACTTGTTGGTGTTGGATTTTTCCTGCAGATGCAGCATGCGTTGCGTCGTTTCCGGGGGCGCTTTCAAGCCAGCAGCGGCGCGAGACGAGTCTTTGGAACCGAAGGCAGCCATAGGTTCCATAGCTTCTGAGAGCCGCGCAAAAAGGATTTTCTTGGACCAGTGGCAACCAGAATTGTAAGATGTCAAAAAACCTGGTTGTTTAACATGGCTTCACATGAACGGTGGGCATCACGTCTCTATATTGTGGGGCAAGATCATCCAGGGAACATGTTTCCCAGCATGCCCTACAACACAAGTTCACAAACTTTTTGTTTGCCTATAATGAGGAAATTCTCCAAATCAGATGGCCAAAGGACTTTTTACGCCAATGGCAGGTCCTCCTGACCCACAGGCTGTGACGATGGCTTCTGACTTAGTCACTTGATACATCTTGATACCGAGACCTCCCTGGGCTCCAGTTGAAACCGCCCCGCAGGTCCCAACCGCCCGTTGGATTCGACCCGTGCAGCTCGCCGGCGAGCTGCGCGTCCCACGTCCTCGTCCTCGATGATGCGCATCGCATGAGCCGTGAGACGCCGTGAGACGCCGTGAGAGAACCATGCGCCCCGCAGATGGAGTCGGAGGCCGTCCGCCTCCCACGTTGCTGGGCTCCACGGCGGGGATCGCGTCCAAGGCCAAGGCGACGAGGTGGCAAGAGGCTCAGCGATCTAAGTCAGGTCACGTTTTTTTTGGATCTTTTTTGGACCCTTGTGCTGAGAGGCGTTCTCAATTGGCACTAGCACGTTATAAGGTTTGCATTGGCTGGCACAAAAGGGGTTAGGGTTTGCATGGCCCTTGCTTGAGCAAGTGAGGAGGCGCTGCACATCTTTGCACTCATGTCGGAAGCCAAGCTGCAACAAGATGTGATCAGCTTGAGTGCGGCCATCAGTGCATATGAGAAGGGCAGCCGCTGGCGAGACTCGCTATGGTTCTTTCAGGCTCCCTTGATCGAACAAGAGTGGAGCACTGTACGAATGGTCCAAGCAGCCACCTCCGTCAAGCAATGTCAAGCATGTGTTTTTTCCTGACAGTTTGCACCATGGCTTGAGCAACTGACACCAAGTAAAAGCTGTAGAAGCAACGAGAATCAAGTAGCCAGACAGGCACTCATGACTCATAACATCTCAAAACTGTATACCCCGCAAAGACGAACATCAACGCTGCTGGCCGCTGGAGAGGAAAGAACACATGCCTTTTACTGCTGTGGGACTGGAGTCATGCTGTAAGGGGTGAGGAACCTCGATGGAAGTGTAGGTCTTGTGTGGTTTTGCCATGGTTTGCTGACTAGAATATCGGACTGAGATAGAGGGAAGATGAGGGAAGCTTTGTCGCTTTCATTTGTGGACCTCATTCGGTAGGCGATGAGCAGCTGGGGACTTCTGCCCAATGTCGTTGCCTTCAACACGGCAATGAGCTCGTGTGACAAGGGTCGCCGGACGGCAAGATTCTGGGTGCTTGATTCTGTGGCAAGAAATCAACACATGGAGACTTCACAGCTCAAAATGCTAGGCTAGCAGTTCCAGGCCGGAATGAGTGGAAAATGAGAACCCCTATCCTCCAATACGCACCCCTTTGGAACTGCTGGTGTGAGCACTTTATTGTTTTTGGGGTTGGTGGATGGTGTTTTAGGCCTGTTTACCCCACACTTCCCCAAACAGCGGCCATCAGTGCGTGTGAAAAAAAAACAATGGCGGCAGAGAGGGGCTTTGCTTATTTGGTGAGTTTGGCCAGAATTCAGTGGGCGCTGATCTCTCCCACTGCTGTGTCTCAGGTTAGTTAGATGGGAGGAGTGCAGCATACACAAATTCAAGATTATGTCATATTATGTCCAGGTTGTCCTGTTCCTTACGCTGTGTATCTCTTCATTGTTTCTCACTTTGGCCCACTCCAAGGCAACCGTTGGCCTTCAGCCTTGAGTCTTTCGCAGGTCATGCAACTCAGCGGAGTAGAAGCGACGGTCATCAGCTTCTCCGTTTTGGTCAGCGCGTCCTCCACGTCCAGCTGGCGGAAGGCCTTTTCGTGCCTGTTCGAGGTCATTCAGTCGACGATGAGGCCCAACGTGATCACCTTCAATGCTGCCATCAGCTCATGTCGCTCGGATGAATGCAGACGCCATGGGGGTTCGAAAAAGATACGTTCCCCTCCTGGTTCTGTATCGTGCCTTGTTTCTTACATCTAGCGCAGAAGCAAACGAAGGGAGCCTGGCCACTGCAGTGCAGGGCAACATCCTGTGCTAAGATAGGGGAGCAGCTTTGGTCATTTCAGGCTGTAGATGACAGAGGCTGACAGCATGAGTAGATTCAACAGAAAAAAGGATGCCCTCCCTTCAACAAACATGGAAGTGGCACAAGGCCCCTTGGAAGACTGTTTTCCTCTACTGGCTGGGGCCAGGGGTTTTCCACTTCCGTGATTGTTTCAAGGACAGGAGAAGAAGAACATCCCACAGATGGCTTTTGCCAAGCACCATCCTCTAAGCCATTCTTTTTCAGCACGGTGCCCATCCTGTGCCAATGATGGACGGAATCGAACAAAACTCCCAGGAGTGGTTTCGAACCATGACTGGACACAATGAGTGGAGATGTGGAGAGCTGATTTCAGATGCGGAGAGCTGATTCCGAAGTGACCTTTTAAGATTCTAAAAACCCTCCCGGCGGTGCCTCTATGGAGGACTCCTGGATCCCTGGATCGATCCATGCATTGGGTTTGCCCTACCTGTAAGAGAGTCGGTAAAAAAGTAAATTACAATTCTAGAGAAAGGCCTTAACTAACCACCATCATCCACTGTTACTGGTAATGGGGTAGACCCAATCTACGCATGTTTAGGCGAGCTTAAACTCGGGTCTGAAGCTGCAGTGGTTTTGTGCTTGAACCCTAGATCCTGGCCACGTACATAAGGTGCCAACTTGGCAGCAAACTGCTTTCGCACTTAGATGCTGCGTCAGTATCTGTCGGCATGAATGTCTACTGAATCTCCTTCCGGGGAATATTTTGTTGGGTTTCCAGCAAATCCATGAGTACCGTATTCTTGATGAAGCCCCTCGATGCACCTCGCACCTCTCCTAGGTGAGAAGGCCTTGAAGTGGCCTTCAGTTTTGGGCGCGTTGGAGTTCATGAGTGGCTTCGAGGCTTTGCCAGATGTCATCAGCTTGAACGCAGCAATGAGTGTTTGTGAAAAGGCTGGACAAGATCTAATGGCATTGCACTTGTTCAGGTGGGACAGGGCCAAACACATTGGAACACTCCGAAGCAAAGTCACGAGTGATCAAGCTACTTTGGGGGAAGGTCGTTTGAAAAGTAGCCAGCAGCCTAAACAAACGATCTTGATCTATCTTGGGTGTCCCAGAAAGATGTTTTTTAGGGTTGTATAGAGAAGAGAAAGGATGGCTCTTTGTCCTTGTGTGGGCCAGGAAAGAACACAAGTCTGTCTTCGAGTGCCGACCGGTTTTGCAGTGCTGACCATAATGTTTATGCATTAGAGCACGGAGACCCTGCACTTGCACGGAGACCCCCCACTCTTGCCTCCCAAAATAGATCAACATAGGACACACGCACTGTATCACACCGTGGTTGAGGGGGACCCTATTGCCCTATTGAAACACACACACACACACACGCACACCCATTCCAAGAAGGGCCTGACACATATGATGACATCATGTGGTGGCCATTTTCACATGTTTTCAGTTTTCACCCTCTTTTCCTATCCTGATTTTGCTTAGGGTGTTTATTCTCCCCATGGGTGAATTCCCTTCAGGGGAATATGTTACATAATATATGTTTACACTATTTCCCCGTTCCTTGAGCAAGCCCGGTCGCTATGCTTCTCCTGGCCGAGGTCGATACCCACCCGGCTGCTGAAGCCCAATGTGATCAGCTTCAGTGCAGTCATGAGTGCCTGCGAAAAGACGCGTCAGTGGCAGCAGCTCGATTGTGCTTTGGATTCCTTGTTGTTGTTGTTGTTGTGGTGGCTGTACCTAGTTGTTGGTGTTGGTGTTGTTGTTTCTTTGTTGTTTTCCTCCATCCCTGTGGTCCCCATTCTGGAATAGTGTTTGTTTGGCATTGACTTTGGGCCATAATTGCCGATGGTAGAAATCACCAGTCAGGCAGGCGTTGATCTTGTTCCAGGACATGTTGGCAGCCAAGATCCAGCCCGACATCATCAGTTCCTCAAAGCATCGCTGGGCATGGGTCAAAGGCCGTTGGCACCTCCAATGGTACTAGATGAGATTTTGATCCACTGCTTTGGGATGCGTTGGGTATTGTTATATGTGTTTCATGCTGATGCTTTAAAACACGTACTAGATTGGTTTGGGCCTCAGAATGTGAAGATTTATAAGGAGACTCGGGGTAGTTGGACGGTTGTGCCTACTGCGCGTACAGACCGTACAGTGCGTAGAGTACTGCCTTAAGTATCCCAAAAAGGGTAATTTTGTTGCTATATGATCAGCAGCAGCAGGAGCACTGCGACCTTTTTAGAGAATCCAAATGTGTTTTTCCTCCCAGCTGTTTGCTTTGCTGGCTGGTGCTCCGAATGAGGGACATCATGCCAAAGTGATTGGACATTCCTAAGGATTGCTGTCGAGTTAGGGTCAGCCACCCTACCCCGCATCCTGCCTGAACTAGGCAGTTTCCCGACATTTATACAGTTGTTTTTCGGAGACATGGCCAGTCCAAGGCTATGGGGCCATCATCAGTTGCTGCGAGAAGGGCGGAAAGTGGCAGTAGCTGACCGAAATGGAAGGGACAGGAATGACCCCCAAGATGGGTGACAGAGATGGGTCGATAGGAGAGTGGAAAACAAGGATTCCAAGATGCAGCATCTCTACTTTTCGCTGAGTCGATATGCACGTAAGACATGTTTTTCACTGTGGCTCACATGTTTTTTGATGCCAAAAGTCGGTGCTAAGGAGTTTATACAAAATGGCAACACTAGTTTTGTGAGGATAGACTGATAGATGTTAAAAGCAAATTATGAAGCGGCACGCAAGAGAATACTCCAAAACACAAGCTAGGCGCTAGCGTGGCGCTTGTGGCGCGCCAGTGCTTCTTTGAATCTGCTTTTGATTGCTAGAAGCCATTTGCTTGGACCACATGTTTAATCTGCGATGTGCAGTTTCATAGGGCTAGCAGGAGCAAGGACACAACTTCAAATGGTTGGCATGTTGCAGTATTCCTAGTGATCTTGCTTTGTTCATTTTCACACCTTGTTTTTGCCAGGGCTAAACCAGGTAAATGTTCGAGACTTTTCGCGCTAGGCTCGCGCTAGCTCCGCGCTATCAGAAATTGCTGAAATGTGTGCCCGGCAGTGCACGGCCCAAATGACGGACCCAATAGTGTGAGAACAAAATGCGCGCAACGCTCCTAGGCAAAGTATGAGCGGCACTTGACAAACGCCAAAGCCCACACGAGTCGGCAGAGCAAACAGCTCAAGATAGCTCAAGCAAATGCAGCAAAGCAACAGGACAGAGAGCAGCTCATCTAGCAGTGCCGACGGCAGCTCTAGCCAGCTTAGGTACAAAAGCACGCGCTAGTGTATTTTGCTGGGAAACGAACACGGCCATACCATAATAACACAAATGTTCACCGTGAGTGCAAGTTTTATGGAAATCATTAAGCGGCACGCAAGGATTTCTGAATTCGCGCCGTTTTCAGGAACAAGACTTTAGTCAACCAAACATGTGTTTACGAGTTTGCCATCGTTTACCCACTTTTTGTGTGGCAGAAGGCCTGTTCCTATATTATATTAGTCCTGTTCCTTTACAACAGACAGTTTTGCAATTCTAGACTTTTGAGTGGATGAATTTTAGAGTGATTCTTTACTACTGGACCGTGCTTCCGCTGCCAAACGTGGATGAGTATGGACGAGCGTGTGGCAATTGCATGCAATTGCCAGTTTTCTTTGTTGTGTTACATGTTTTGGCATGTATGGAGTTTGTGCCCAAATTGAGTGTCAGTTTGGGGTATAGCTTCCCCAAAGAGAGTCTCGGCTTTGATCCTCAGCCAGGTATGCCTTGAGCCTTTTTGACCACATGCTCCAATCAGCCATCCGCCCCAGCATCATCAGTTTGAGTGCAGCCACCAGCGCTTGCGAGAACTCGGGGTGTTGGCGAGAGGCAATGCAGCTCTTTCAGATAGCCTTAGAGTCCCATCTCCGCGTCGATGTGATCATTCTCAGCGCAGCGATCAGCTCCTCGCAGCCAGTCGGAAGGTCGCCTTTCTTCACCTGTGATTGGGGATTCCCCAACCTCAGAACGAAGCAATGGAAAAAGGTAGAGTTTGTTCTATGGGCAACGGATGGGTCCTTCTATTCCTTCTCCGGACGTGAAGGGTGAACCGGACGTGGGCCCAGAACCGCGCCGTTTCGCGCCAAACCTGGCCTTCCGAGCCAAGCCACCCAGCACCTGGCCTTCCGAGCTCGGTGATGTTTGGGGGGGATGGTCTACTCTAGCTTCCTTCACTACAAAAAGAGCTCCACTTCGCGAACGTGGTAAGCCCGGAATTGGGAAGCCCCGCCACTCGTTGGACCCAAAAGTGCCTGTGTTTCGAGGTGGTTGAAAACATTTGAAAACCCAAACTGATTGGCCGCCAAAACAGATTGCTGAAGTAGGGCACTCAAGTTGCCAACAAATCAAGCAAAAGTGCTCGCAGTTTTAGGCACTGCATGTTCGAAAAGGTGACAATACCCATCCGAGCATGGTTACAATTATAAATATATTTTCTATGTTACTTTAGGGTCATGAAGAGAGTAGAATGCATGTACCTGTTCCATACATGGAGCGTATATCCTTCTTCTTGTACTTAGTACTTGTTCTTTGTGTTCGGTTCGTTTACTGAAGTCCGCGCCACTTTGAAGAGGAACGCACTCCTGACCTGGAGCTCTCCATACCTGTTCTTATGGACTGATAGAACATCACCACATCAAAACACATGCACCAGCAGTTTCATTTTCGGAAAACGGCCGTCACTGGATGGCTCAAATCCTACTCTTTTGGGTGCAATTGGCGGTTGCTGATACCCATTTCCTTCTTGGGACCCTGAGCCCCCTTTGGGTGTCTTGGGATCCAAACCTCACCAATCTAAGCGCGAGGTTCCTGCGAGAAGGGGTGCGAATGGCAGCAAGCACTGGTTCTTGTTGAGTCCATGTCAAGCCTGGAAGTGCAACCCAATGTCATCAGTTGCTTTTCGGCACTGAGAGTCAGTTGCTTTTCACATGGAACAATCTCACCATATATGTTTCGCTGCCCCAATCAATGGCTTTCGGAAGCTGTGGATTTTGGACAAAGCCAGGATGAGGAGCTAGGGCCTAACGGGGGGTGGGTAATCCATTATGAATCAGGAGCCGAGGACCTTACTTCACAACCTGTGTCACTCATTTCACAGCGACATGCTGGAATTGTCAGTCTCAGTGTCAATCTGGTTTTGGAAAACGCAAAGTGAGGCTTCAATGCTGCACTGGGCGCTTGTGAGAGAGCAGGCCAATGGCAAAAGGCCCTCAGGCTCTTCGAAGACATCGCGGCGACTTGGCGGCTGTTCTCTGTGAAGGCGCCACCCGCTAAGTAAATCCCTCGGAATCTGGAAGAAACCAAATCCGGAAACATGTATTAACATCCCAGGACCCTCCAAGGGGTGCTCAATGGAAGCCTATAGGTAGTGTGGGGTAGTCCATTGGACACCCCTTGGAGGGTCCAGGTCTATGCCCTAAAAGTCCAAAGACCCAGGTTACGAGCCTTGTGTTTTAGCTCCTTGAATCGTGTTTTTGTATGACCAACTTCAGTAAAATGAGGTCATTGACTTGTAGGGTATATACCTACAAGTAAGTAGTGATTCAGTGTTAAGTGCGACTTTCTGGGAGAGCTGGATCCCCAAAACCAGCATGCACATAGTTCAGATGAATTCCAAGTGTACGAACATCCAAGAGGTAGGTAGGGCCACGGGGTTCCGCTCTAGCTGAGATGTTGAAGATCAGGGACCACCTGGTGTTTTTCACCGATTTGGTCCGTCCAAGATGTCTCGAGCCACGCCATGCTCCAAGGCTTTTGCTCTTGAGCCCACCATCCTCAGCCTCGAGACCGCCACCCGCGCAGTAGAGCAGAGCTCCGCGCTGTGCGGCCGTGCGGCCTTGGCCCAATGGCTGGACGAGTCTGAAAGACACTTCGTGCAGCTCTTGGCGGCCTGAGCGTGTGGGAAAGCGACGCCGGTTGAGTCAACGTCGGATCAACGGTAGACTCAGGTGGACCGTTGATGAATAAAGCCGCTCATATATGGAGATGTAAATAAAGATATTCAAGAATTAGTAGGTGGATTTTATTCATCAACAGTCTACATGACGTTTCTGCAGGCAGATTCCCTTTTCATCCCCTCCAATGAGGCTCGGATCAGCCGGATCCATCCATTTTCCGTGCTCAGGCGCTCCAGGCACACCTGTTGCTCCAGGCGCTTCCAATTGTTTGAAGAGCGAATGCTCCGGTCTCTCATGGCTGGCCTGGAGCTTCTCACAGCCAAGGATTGAAAGATGGAGTAAGCTTTCTCTAGGCCTCGAGAAGCCTAGCCAGTTTGTGGCTGACCTTTAATCGTTTGGAGGATCAGTGTCTTGAATAGGAGAAATCGGCGATCAGTTGGGGCGTACTCGTGTACATCCAGTGGAAAGAGGTGATTGTCCTCATGTAAGTTAAAAGCCTTTCCTGGTTGCTTTTGGTCCTGCTTGGGGCGGACCCAGGACCCCTGCGGACTCTTTTCACGTTCGCCAGCACGCAAGACCCGCCGTGTCCGAATGAGTGGAAACGAATGCATCCTACATGGTCGGCATTTGACCACATATACAGGAATAAGGGCGGCTTAGGTTGAAACAGTTGCGTGACGCAAGGTTGATAGCAAACATGTCATGTCACTGGCTGCAACATGTTCCAATGCTTCTGAAGTCCTTGTGCAAATGAGCAAGTCGCCGTTTGCAGATCAGGTCGATCCTGTTTCAAACACGCTGTTCGCATTGCAATGGATCTATATACTATATTTATATGTATATGTTCGAAGGACTTTCTTCATGTGGTAGCTCTTCTTGTGTTGGTTTGGCCAATGCTGGCGAAACACGGTCCAGTTCCCCACTTGATCAACTTGGAATGTAATTTGGTTTCCACCAAATACCCTGGACCAAGTGATGATGCGGATGATGCGGATCTCCTGGTCGATGCCATGTTTTCACGTCCACGAATCGAACACCGCGGTGAAAACCGCGGCCTCGGTCGCCCGTTTTCGTATCAAACCAATCCAACAAAGACTGGTTCGTGCGCGGAAACGGAGGACTCCATCGACAAGCTGTTGGCCATGTTGGAGATGTGTGCCTTGGAGGGCCCGGAGGGAACCAGGAGCTTTTTCAATGGGCGGCATGGATGGAAGGGGCATAAGAAACGAGCGAAGAGGCCGGAGATGGAGGGCAGAGATGGGCACTCTCCAGATGGAAGAGACCATTTTTGCACAGCTAGTTACTAGTTTGGAGTGGTGGATCACGTCTAGGGGTCAATAAAGATCCACTGGTTTTTGGGTCTAATTGCAAGAGACTGGATGCTACTTGCTTTGTTGAGCTTGGAACGTCCTGGCGCCTAACACCGGGGTCCTGTCCAGACTCTCCCTGTGTCGTTGGTCTCGACATGACGGCACCGTCACCTGGGCAAACGGGGTCCTACTAGGACCATCCTGGAGCTGGGGGTCCTGGCTGGACTACCCCACCAGGACCATCCCCCCACACGGCTGCCGGCTGCCGCACCCCGAACTGCTCTCTCACGACCCGGACTCACGGGCGTGGTGTCGGAGACGTGAAATTGGACAGGTCAGTCTTCCCATGCCACCATGCCACTGTCAGACGGGAGAAGAAAGAAATGGATTCTACACTCAATATCACTCAATCACATCAATAATATGAAGAGCATTTAAGAGAGTCAAACGAATAGTATAGCACATAAATGCAGTATAGATTGAACTTGAAATCCCCTGAGGCCCTGATGGTTATCCTTTCGGCGTTTTCTTGTTTCACCGTTTTCGCTGTCCAAGACGCCAAGTACTTGATGCAAAAGCTGCGCCGGGTATGGGACTCGAGTTGTACGCGCTTTTGCTTCAGCCGCATGAATCAGACTCCGTCTCGGGTGGCCAAACTGAGATGATGCCCAGGTGATAAGATCGGTGCTGAGATGATGCCGGCGGAGGCGGGAGAGCGGTGATCGAAATGGAGATGATGTCCGCAAAGTGCCCAAGAAGGACGATCACGATTTTCAGATCCCGGACACTCCGGAACATCGCTTGCATGGACCGCGGACACTGAAACCACCCCGATGTAGGTAAAAACATGTCTTCAAAGGCTACACATATACTAGGATGTTGCTTTTGGACATGCCCGTTGGAGACGGATTTGCTACCATTCAGTCGACCAGCAGCTTGGCAAGGGGCAAGCTTGGACTGTGTGATCAGTCCACATTGATCCGACAGGTAATTACTACACAGGGAGTGATCAGAAGTCCGAAGCTACGTAGGGGAGGTTGCTTGATCACGTGGTGTTTCATTTGAGTGGTTGACAGTGCCTACACAGCTTGCGCCTAATTAAGTAGAATATAGGTTTTCAACAGGTGCAAAGGGCTACATGTAGAAGTTTGGGTGCCCTGCTTTCCTATGCCACCCAGGTTGTGGTTGTGGTTGTCGTAAAATCCAAGTTTGCCACAAGTCGAAGATGAGGAGACCTTGGATGACAGAGACACTGTGCAGTCGCACGTTCACTCATGCGGTCGTTTTCAGTTGCAGGTTCGAATCCAATTTCTCTGGGTAGCTTTCTTCTAGCTTTTCAATTGCAATAAACGCGATAAATGTGATCCGCGTTTTGACATCCTTCGCAGGTCATGCAGGATGTCTACGTTGCTACAGCCTCAGACAGAAGGGCCCCCGAAATTGAATACCTTTGGGCTCGTCGATGTGAAAGAGTGTGTTCATCGATGTGGGTCGAAACCCTGCGCGCATGTGTTTGCCGGCCACATGTTGGACGTAGAATTGCAATACGGAATCCATTTGCCATGGAACACCAATTCCCTATGACCCTATGACACATGCAGATGATTCCCTGCAAAAGTCTTGGAGTAAGGAACTAACGTCCTATTTTGGAGTGCCCCTCGAAAGGACACATATGATTTAACCCCATGTTGATGAGATGTCAAACAATTGGAAACTATTTGTAGGGGTTGCCGAAATGAGAGGAAGAATAAGGTGAAAGCCGATGCAAGACACGCCAATCATAAGTTCAAAAGTGTCCATGTTTGTCTCCATTTTCCATTGCACGTACAGTGGTTCTAGAATAGATGACATAATCCTCAAAAGGTGGTTTATACGGACCCTATGGAGAACATCTTGGCGTTTGTGCCATCGAACCTCTGAAATCTTTTCAGTCAAAACCTCAGCTCTCAGGTGCCTTTGTTGTCCTGGTGGAGCTGCACGTTGGGCTGCTCAGTGGGGAATGTGTTGGGCAGTAGTCATAGATATTGATTGGTGTCCCCACCTTGATCACCTTGCCCATTGTGACAAGGCCTAAGGACCCTTCTCATGTCCAGCAGCACGCTCCCCATCCTCTCCCGTGCTGCTCCGGTGTTCGATGCTCGGGGATCGATGCCCGGGGGTCGGGACGCGTGTTCCGTCGCGGTTTGGGCACCACCTTCCGTCGCGCGGGTCAGGTACCGGGACGAAACCAGGTCATGGGATGCCTCAGACTGATGTGGCCCGACCAGGTACCACATGTTCGAGACACGAGCAGTACTTGATAGCAACTCTAGAACTTGTTTGCTGACGACCGCCCAGGCGAAAATCATGCTCAGCTTGGAGACTTGACCGAACATACTGTAGACATATTGCATTGACATATACTGACTTCGCTTGATTTGGAGTTCGGGTGCCAAATCGCCGCCCACCTCAAGTAACTATATATGTGTTTGGCTCCGAGGAACAGGGCGCTTCGTGCCGCCCAAAAGCACCAGGAACGTCCCAGTCGCTTCGCCGCTTGGCCCGGTCCGACAGGTTCTGCGAAGGGGATCCGCGGCCCGACGACGTGCGCTACGACTCCTTCTGCAAGCCGCTGGGCGAGCGCGCTTGAGCCGCCGCGGTCGGGTAGGACGGTCGGACGTCGAGTAGGTCGAGAGACGGTCGGGTTTTGGAGAGACGGTCGGGAATATGGTCAATGGTAGGGTCCTGAGAGTGTCAGAAGAGCGGAGGTTGTTAGAGACGTGCAGGATGGTGCAGGTCCAAAAGGTGTAGCCCTGAAAAAAAGGAACTGCGTTCCGGGAGGTTTCACTTCTTTTTTAGACACACCACAAGTTCCCATGTCGGAAGGTTAGGGCCAGGGTGCTAAACACCACCCCTTTTTGATTCCTGGCACTCACACCAGGAGCCACATGGAGTTGGGTGGTGCTTGGTCCGATCCAGTGAGTGGAGTAGCTGGGCACCCCTATCCTCCAAGTTCAGCTCTCCTTTCTAACTCCTGACCCTATGAGTCAGAACTGCATGTTAAAACAATGCCCGGTTTACAGGAAAACCACATGTGAAACACAGATGTGAACCATTTTCACACTCAGGGTGGCGTATGTTCTTCCGGCTTCGGACCGATGACCGAGTCACTGAGGTGGCCGATGGGTGAGGACCGTTTGGACCGACCGTTTGGACCGGGAGGGCTGTCAGTATCGTTTTTTTTTCCGCTGGGAATTGGGCCTGAAGAATTGAAGAGAACACTAAGCTTACTGTACTGTTTTTCTTTTGTGCAGTATGCACGCCAAAGCATCCAAAGCCGCCTAAGGCTGTGGGCGGTGTTCGAAGAGGCTTAGACCATGCGTTTCAGATTCTTCGGGGTTGAAGTATGTTGAAGTGTTGGGTCGCACTCGACTCTTAGGCACGGTCAGTTTATCCCGGCCGCTGTGTCACGATAATCAGATGGGGACGGGGCAGACGGGGCGAGGAGGGTGCTCACAAGTACTTCCTCCAGTGGAATGACTACTTTGTGCAGCGGATCCAAAAGCAACAGGCCATGGGAAATCGGACTGTCCAGGCAGCAAGAAGATCGTAATGAGAGGTGTGATTGAGGTGAGAGTGTGGCAGGTAATTTCATGTTTGATCTTATATGAATAGTGAATTGGTGCACATCCCCCCCTGCACAGGGAGAGTGGATAGAGACAGGCCAACCAAAAGTATTCTCGAGTAGCAGCAGCAGCAGCAGCAGCAGGCAGGACCTTGATCTGTAC